ATTAAGTCCACCATCAATGAGTTGAGAGGGCCCTTCTCCGGCCTCCCCAACTTGCTTACAAGTTGCAGAGTAAGCAAGACGCGTAAGAGACAGCAAACCACATGTCACCCATGCTGGCCTGGAGCTGCCAGGCCCACCAGAGCTGTCTAGTCCTTCTCCACACCAACGCTGGAGGAGCACAGGCCCCAGGGTAGGGGCAGGTGGAGGGAGCCTCTGAGTTCAACATGGGAATTATTAATTGGGTAAGATAATTGAAAAACAATAGCCAGAATTGGCTACATAATTTTCAGGGTCCAGTGCAAAATCAAAACGTGAGATTTTGGTTCAAAATTCAGGAAAAATCAACCTTAAAATACTAAAATATAATTTTTTTTTTTCTGTAACCTATGGTCTTTCAACGTGTTATGGGGATTTTTATTCCTATTTCATATCACACTCCCTCAGGAACAGGGATATTCTTGGACGAGGTGCAAAACTCTCTAAAGCTCCAGGAGTCTGGACCATAATTTGTAGACCTGACAGTTCCCAGGTTCCCCTTCCCAGGAGCTACTGGGTTCTCCCCCCTGCCTGCCCCCAAGGGTATTGCACCCTCAATGCCAGGAAGCACTGAGGTGACAGGCTCACCCCAGCAGTGTCGCTGCCCTGTCCTCCCCTGCCCCCCGCCATTCCCCTACCTCCCAACTCCCCCCAGATCCCGTCCCCCCTGGAACACAGCGTGGTGCTGCTAGCCCAGGCAGGGATACCACAGCTGTGGCCACACAGAGACCACTGAGCATACCTGACTTTGCCAGCCCAGCTGTGGACTGACAACAGCAGCAGCCACTGGGCAGAGGTAGGGAGGGGAGTCTTGTGTGGGGCCCCAGACTCCAGGGGCTGTGGGAGTGGTCAGCCGAGCACCTGTGGGGGGGGGGTGGCAGAGGTGCTCCACGTGGGACTGAAGCCCCAAGCCCTGGGGCCTGCCCCACTGTCCCATCAGACTTCATGCACAACACGCAAATTTAAAACAACTCTAAGAAAAGTGTAAGGGAGGCAAAAGCAGAGCGCTGCAAGCCAAGCACGGGCTTTTCTGAGAGTGGAGCCCTGCCCCGCAGCACTGGTCCCTGCTCAGAACCCTTGGGAGCTGGCTTGAATAATAACTGAAATAAGACATGGATACCAAAACAGACATGAAAGTTTCTGACTGGGTGTAAGATGCTGTTAAAGGAAACTGTCACCCAGCAGGAAATTCTGGTTTAAGATACACAGCAAATAAAAGAATTACATTTTCTAGTCATATTTTAAATAGGTGAGACTCCTCAGTCAAATTAATAATACATTTCCCCACAGCAGATTTTAATATGCAACCATTGGATTCTTCCCTTTCTTCACCTCCTTTTCCACTTTGCTGCAACCCCACATAGTTTTCTCATGTAAACTATGTCTGGAGTTCTTGCTGCCTTCCACCCCACGATGCCAGGTTAGATCCAACTACCCTTGGAGGGCTACCCCAGCCACCCCCCAACTAGCCTACATTCCATTGCTGGCCAAATCTATGCTCTCACAGTTAACCTTGACTCCTGCCTCAGGCCCTTACAAGATTTTCTTTACTTCTGGCAAGTTATGTAGCTCTTTTGTGCTTCATCTTACTCATCATATAAGCTTGTTTGAGGATTAAATAAGGTAACGTGTATAAACTGGACTTGACCTTTTTCATTACAAATCTCTCCAAGATATATGGGTCATTCTATAATTTAATATGATTCAATAATTTTCCCAAAGTGCAGATTGTCTGAACCTAATAGATAGTTTCTCCAGCAGTGCTGCCTGCTAAGATCCAGCTTCATCGCTCTTATATGGGAATATAATGTTTACCCATTAGAGAGACTTGGGCTTGGGCCAGAAGTGCTGTAACTGGTGAGAGAAGGACCTTAAAAGGGCAAGAATGGAGAACCCAGGAGCTAGATAACATCAGAATTGTAACCAAAGAAACACTTTATGTCCAAGAGCACATAAAGCAAAGACAATATATTCTATAGATATATGTACGATGCACTTCATGATATAGAAAAAAAATCTGAGTTAAGTACAGAGTTGATCTTATTAAGTTAGGTTTTCTCTTTTTACTTAAAGGACAATCTTAACACAGTCAAGCATTTACACCATCACATTCAATAAGTGTTGGAGTATTAGAGCAAAGACAGAACATTGTAACACGTGTCTTTGGAATCACCGATAGCTACAAACACAGAAACAAAAGACTATAAATCAATGCTTTTTTAAGAGTTTGAAGCAAACTTGTAAAGTAGCTCAGGGCTGTTATTCTATGGATGTGGCTCCGTAGGCTGGGTCAGGACGATCAGTAAGCTGCCCCAAACTACATGATGATAGGAACAACTCTAACTGAGACAGCTAACTCTGGAGACAGTACAAGTTCATTACCCCAAAGGGTGTCAATCGATACAGGCTATTATTTGATATATCATGGATTGATATAGAAATTTTATCTATACCTCCTAGAATTGTGAATGTTTTCACCTGTATGTATATTACAGTCTTCACATATCCTTTTATATTTGTTTTATATCGTATCTATCACTTGCAAAGAAATAAAATGTGTACCTCTCTACCATATGTGTACCTCTCTACCATATGTATATATAGACAGAGTAGGAAGCAGAACTGATGTCTTATTTAGTTCCCCTATATTCCTGCTATAAGTGAAATACACTGCTGAGGGAAACAGCAGCGGGGTGGGGGGGGGCAAGACAGGAGAGATCCG